GAATGCACAAGAGCCTATTAAAATTGTGTAGATCATTCTAGAATTGATTTCCAAATTCGGTAAAAACCCTGACTGTAGTATATACATTTTACTATTAAAAATGAAATTTGGCCACCAGTGATCCTTCCTTAAAAGGAAAGATCAGTAGATTCACGTGACCAAACCAATCAAAAAAATTATATATAACGATGATGATAACAGCAACTTTGATGATGGAACTTTTTTGCAACCACTATCAGAACATCTAATGCCTTATCTAAAATTTTTAATTGGTGGTATTCAAAAATTATCATTGCTGTTATTATTATCATATTCGATATTAATAATAATATTATTATTAATGTTGAAATTTAAAAAAAAATTTTTTTGTGAAAGAATCTAATCTGATATATCATGTCACCAGTGTCACCAATGAATATCATCGCTATTTGAGTAAAAAAATCAACTTTTCAAAACGTAGTTATTTTACAAATCTACAATACTGTAGTCCTCGTGACCCATAGATCGCATAACATGGGACTTGGTAAAAAATATTTTATTTACACACAATAACAACAACACATCAATTTCACATAACTTTTAGTAGAGATGAATATTGAGTATTTTATAGGTTACAAAGGTATGTTCTAAGCAGTTCGATTTTTAATATTGTTTTAGATTTAATAGCTAACAAATTTTTTTTTAGCTATTTTGTCTTATCTTGAAGAACATGAAAATCCAACATACCAAGATTTCCTATATCTCAATCGAGATGTAATAATTACCTCACCTCCATTTACTGAAGATTGGAGTGGTTTAGATAGTGCTTGGTCAAATTGTTTTATGAGAGCTGTAGAAACTCATGTTCCAGATAGATTTGAAGCTATAAGAAAGAAAGTTTGTTTCTATTTATCTTTAATTTTGTATAATTGCACTCCTGAAGGGTCAACGTGCATTTCAAGGGTATCTGGTCAACGTGCTGGGCTTCCCTGTTGTTTCATTTATAATGTTTTTTTATCACACTCTTTTACAATTACTCACTAAGGTTTCTGGTCCAAACTGTTTTCTCAAAGCCCAAACTAGTTTGGGCAATTTGGGCTTCTCAACATTTTTT